TTTTTTTTTTTTTTTTTTTTTTTTTACGTAGGTCAAGTAATAGAAATCCATCTTCAATTCACCTCATTCACCAACAACACCATTTTCACCAATCATCACCAAATTAGTCAACAAAATATATTCGTGTACGGCTGACAAGAAAAAGGCACAAAGCTCAAATGGGCTACTAGGGAAAATAGGATCAAAGAACAAGGCTAAAAAGGAGCTAATCAAACAAAACGCCTCAATCATATTCGAAATTTCAAACTTTAATCGATTCCTTTCAGATAAACTCAAGGCAAGTTCTAATCATTCATGAATATGACCAACATCTCACAAGAAAGAAAGAGAATGACCCAAAACCTCACTAGGAAAATAGATGTCATTCAAAGTAATCAAGCAAATACCGAGGCAATGACCACACGTCCGTCATCGCAACTTCCCAATTTCATCAAACATTCATCAACAATTCATATTATCCACCAATATCACATGCTCAACAACACAAAATCTTAAAACTAGACCGGTCCACCACATAAGCATGCAAAAATCCAAAAAGACACCCCCACACTTAAAATGAGACAATGACCTTATTGCTTCAACTCAAAACAGGAAGTCAAAACAAGGACCAAACAATTTCATATAGCGAACCAGTACCAGCAACTACCACGAGCACACAAAACTAAAAAGAAAAGACGAAAGAAAGAGAACTCAAAAAGAGAAAATAAGAAAAGGGTGTGCAAACCGAAGTGCCTCGAGGAGAACAAACATTCACGTGCAAGTCGCTCCCCAATGCTTAGCCCAGAATCTCCATAGTCCTCACTCAACACAATCCTCATGCTCGAGCTCGTAATCTCGTACCTGCCAAGAAAACACCCAAAACTCCAAAACTCCCATTATTAAAAAATAAAACTAAAAAGCATAAAAGAAAATATCTACGAAAGCAGTAAATCGCTTGGGTTGCCTCCCAAGAAGCGCTTGTTTAACGTCATTAGCTTGACGAAACCTGATGAGAACTCATCCGGGGTCCAGAAAGAAGTGACGATCGTGCCACGCCTTTGTGTTTTCCAGAAGTGGTAGCATGGGAATCTTGGCGAGAAGGCTGGCACAGTGGATTCGGGTGGCGATGTTTTGGATGAAACGGTCTCGGGCACGAACAATCCCCAACTCTAACCGCAGAGCTTTTCCCACACAAGCTCTGTCTTCAACCTCCAAAAATATAAGCTCATCAGTAGAGCAAGTCAAACTGAATCCTCCCAACTTTGTAACACGGTGTAAGGGCCTCGAAGACGGGTGCTCTAACTCAGAGGTGGGAGGTGGGACTTGAGAATCAAGCCCATGGATCTCCTCCTCTGAAATATCATCAATGACTCGCTGGAGCTCATCCTCTTCTTCTTCGGCCTCACACATATGCATCATCGTGCGGGCTTGAGTATCAAGCGTGAGGTGGGGGTCGTCGACTTCTGCCTCGATTGAGCTGGTATGTGCTGCAAGAATCTCCATCTGTGTGCTCAGTCGAGCACACCTGAGCTCAATCTCCACATCTCGAGTGGACTGGGCAGATATGTGAGCAAGGATGAGGTCGAGCTTCTCATCGAACGACAAAGCAGCCTCCCGAGGCTCGTCCTTATGTGTGGGTTCGCTTTGAGCGGTGGGCTCGAGAGTGACATTGGTAACTCGATCCTCTAAGGCTTTCACGCGCTCCACTAGGTTCTCGATTTTGGACTCGATATTGCTCCTACGGGCAGCTTGGGATGCCAAAAGAGCGAAGGCCTGATCGAGCTTGGCATTGTACTCTAAGGAGTCCTCGAAAGACTCCTATGGCTGCTCAACAGGCCCGAAATCCCACTGCTGCTCGAAGAGATATGATAATCTCTGGCTATAGTCCCAAGAATCATGGTAAGGAGGTGGATGGTTTGGATGGGCACACCGGGCTGCTGTCTCTTCTTCTTGAGATAACCGAGATATTGTGAAATCATAAATGCGGTCGAGCTTCTCGTTGAACGCATGGGACTCATAATATTGCTCGACCGGGAGGGGGTCCCAGTACTGCTCGGAAGACTAGGGGTAAGACTGGACGTGGTACCCGGTGTGGTAGCTTGGCTCGTGGACCCAAGATTGGGTGTGCGAATAGGGGAGCACACGGTTGTAGCTCATACTACCTGCACGCAAAAGCAGAACAACCACGCGTAGCCACGAAAAGACAAGAAAAAGAAAATAGAAACAAGAAAGACAAAAAGAAAAACAAATATGCACAAAAGAGAGAACAAAAAAATGAAAATCAAGAAAATAAGAAAAACACGAAAAATAAAATCAATACCAAGACCAAATATCCTACTTGCCTTCCCCGGCAACGGCGCCAATTTGTTGTAAATATTTTTCGGAGCAGAATCGAAAGATTCGAACACCGGGTCGTGTCTCACGAGGAAGGTCAGCCGGAATATAATGTATGATTATTCAAACGCGAAAAGAAATAAAATACCTAGACATACTAATTCAAATTATTGGGTTTAATTTAATTATCTACTAGCATGAAAATTTAAATGAAGCAGTAAAAATAACGAGCTAAGACGAAGAACAAATAGGATAAAAGGAGCTAGGGAGTCGGGGATATCCGTTTTGATTCGAAAATGCAACTGATGGGCAAGAGATTATTCGGTTAAATGATTTGAATAACCTATCGTTCAAGTTTTCATTCTCAATAACTATTCGTAACAAGAGAACAAGCTTAAACGACAAATTAACAATTCAATTAACGCCTAGGCAATACAGCTACGAACAAGCCTAGTTCATACGAGCTTATTTCGACCGACTCCTCCCCTTTCGGTTCTAAGAGTCGATTAACTTAGCCTAGAAGATGATTAATCAACTAGTCCATTTAGAATTAACAACGTCAAACAAGAATAAATTGAACTCAATTGAAATCAATTGGAAATTGAAGTGTCACCCTTCAACAATCCTCAATATTCAAATACGATAATTGAAAAACCCTATCAAAAGCTCGACTCGTACAAATTGAACAATCTCAAGCCCGGCAATCACGAACGAATTAAAACATCAATCCCCTAATCCCTAGCATATCAATTTAGCTACTCATGATCGGATAATTCACACAAACATCCATAATCAAAGCAATCATATTCATAGATTAAATGTATAGAAAACTTACGATTAATGGAGATCGAGAAATAATCCGATAAACAAGATTAATCCGAAAGAAATAGCAAAATCCGAAATCCAATCCATGTTCACCGTCGAAAATTATTAAAGAAGGATGAAAAGAACTAGTTTTTCCCAAAACTAAGGAACGAAAAATTGATAAAACCTAGCTGCTGGCCATCCTCTCCTTTTACGAGTTCAGAAAATCAGATTTTTAAAAATCTGCTAGCGCAAACCTCGCGGCCGCGGAGAGGCCCGCGGGCCGCGGCGAAGATCGGCTCCGCGGCCGCTAATCATCTCGAGGCCGCGGATTTTCTTCTCTGCAGATGGAGAATTGGGGGAGGCTTTTGTTCGCCGCGGCCGCGAGAGGAGAAGTCGCGGCCGCGGGAGGGGGAAAATCTAGGCGCGACTTGATTATGTTGCAGCAGGTGGGCGCCGCGGCATGGCAGGCTTGTCGCGGCGCGACGGGGATGGGTTCCGCGGCGTGGGGAGGTACTGTGGCGCAGCGGTTGAGCTTGCCGCGGCGCGACTTGATTTCGCGGCGCGACGGGGCCATTCTGGGCAGCTTCTGGTCGTGGACTTCACGGCAAGGCAACGGTTGCGCGACGCGGGATGAAGCCTCCTCACGGAGTGGCAGGAGAAGCTCTGTAATGGCGTGATGTTGTGGAGGCGAGGCTTGCTGTTCGTGGAGGTCTGATGACGCCGTGGAGATGGCCTGCTATCTTCGTGAAGGGGGCTCGGGTCGACTACGTCACTTGGTTTTGCGCCGTGAAGGAGAAAATTTCTATCGTGAAGTGTGTTGGATGTAGTAAGCTTCCTTGTACAGCTTATGTCTCGGGTTTGGTCTCGCTCGTTGGAAGCGAAATTTGGTCCCATTTTCTCAATTGTAATGGCCACGCCCGTCTACGAATTTGATAACTTCCTTCCCCATAGCAAACAATCAAGCAACTCAACCTGCACATCACTCGAGACGAAAACAAAAACAGAGAAAACGAAGAAAATAATCGAAAACACAAAAGAAAAACTCTAAATAAATGAAAACACACGAAAAGAAACAAAACGGACCAAAACTACGGAAACAAACATAAAATGAGGGATAAAGAAAAGAAAAATAATAACGAAAAAACGTAACAAAAATGGGACAAACAAACTTCTACATCCTCATTCAACAAAAGAAGAAGCCCTCCACTACCCCCTATAGGATCCACAGAGAAATTTCTATCCTTGAATCCCAACTTAGTACAAACAGATTAAGTGAAATTATTTGGTTTTCTAACTTCAGATAAAAAAAGAAAATTTTGTGATGGATCTTTAAGGATTCCTTAATCTGGAGAACTGTAGAGGGTCCACCCAGACCTCTACAGTTCCACACCTGAGCTTTCATTGACACCTTGAGGGTCCTTTAAGGCTGCCCCTCAACTCCTGAATCTGCAAAGTTGTGAATTTTTTGTCTCTAGACTGAGAATGATCATCCTCTTGCTCTAAAGTCATAGCTTGGTCCTCTGGTTCTCTGGGCCTTTTGGAAGAGGTGGAAGAATCACCCATTGAGCACTCCATCCCATTACTGGAAAGTCTGCCTTCCTTAATGCCCTTTCTTTTCCAGGTCTTCTTGCCAATTATAGATTTTGGAAGAACTCTTTTATGACTCCCTTTAGGCCCTTCCAGATTAAGTTGTTCCTCTGGAATGACTACAAGATCCAACTGATTATCTCCATTATTATCTGGCAAGGAAAGACTCCCCAGATTTGGCTCAGGCTGAGGCTCCACAAGCACTAGGCCTCTTTCCCTTATTTCCCCTGAAGAATCCTCTCCCAGCTTAAAAACTCTGGACTCCACCCTTTCTGTACTTTTACCTTTAGAGCCCTTATGTCTAACTTCCTCAGAGCCTCCCCTAAGAGGATCCTCGTTATCAGCCACTGCATCATGGATATTAACAGGAGATGATGGAGAACCCCCTTCTTGCCCTGAAGACTTCTCAGATTTTGTCCAGCTGAGCCCCTGCAATCCATTAGAAGCCCTTAACCAATCTCCATATTGACCCTTCTTCAACCCATCCTTTGCAATGTCCTCAATTCTGAGCTCACATCCTTTCTCAATATGTCCTACTTTGCCACAGTAAAAGCACAAATTCACTAACCTATCGTACTTGAAAGTTACAGTGACCATTTGTGAGCCCAGCCTTATAGTGGCGCATCTAGGCAGAGCCTCGTTAAGGTCCACAAACACCAGCAACTTCAGGATTCTCCCCCCTTGGATCCCAGAGTTTGAAACAATAACGTTGAATGTTTACGGGAAGACTTTGCCAATTCTGAGACCCAGTTTATTATTTAACCAGTTAAGAGGAACATGGTGGACTTGAACCCACATTTTAAGTTTGGAAAAACATTCATTTATGCAATTCAATCCTTCCTTCCATCTCGTGATAATTAGATACTGGTTCTCGAAAATCCAATTGGTGCCGCTCTCAATGCGAGTTAAATCCTCCAGATTCTCAAAGATAAATTGGAAGAAATTTGGCCCTAGCTCACGGATCTCCATTGGCTGCTGCAGTTTCTAGATTAGGCTCATGGCCCGCCTAATCCCAATCACATGAGCACATTTTTCTCCCACAATCTTACCAAACAAGCTCTTATGACATTCCTCAACCCCTGTTTAAACATCGTCATCTCGAAGGTCAATGATTTTGTTTTCGACTCGAGAAAAAGAAAAAGTCCTCAATCGTTGTTCGACCTCCTCCGTCAGGTTACTAGTATTGACCCCTTCCATGAACCCTAGTTTCTCAATTGAGCGAAGCAGCTAGAAGAAGAAAGAAAACCGAAATCCAAAAAGAAAGATGATCTGAGGATCAAACACCCCGACAAAGGAAGAAACCCTCCAAAAAAGGAAAGAAACTCTCTGATGAGAGAAAAGACTCTCCTAAAGAGAGAAAAATGACATTTGCCTCACTTATCTTCCCCCTCTTTGTATTGACTTCTCTATTTCATAGTTTATCTCGCATAATTTGTTTGGCGAATAAAAAAGAGTTCACTCAATATTTAGCCGGGTAGCATGTGAAATAGCTATTTCCTCCTTCCACGAAACCCTAATTTTACACCACTTTACATTAATCGGAAATAAAGATATCTTCTCTCTCAATCTCTCTCCTACAACTCGATTCTTCAATTCTTTGATGGTTGATCTTCAACATTTATCAGTCCCATCCACAACCTCAGCAAGTGGCCCAAAGATTTCCATGTTTGCAAAGAAATCTGGATTTGTCATCCCCAAAAATAAGCTATCAGGTTCTCTGGTTCCTATACATCGAGGAACTAAAAAGGGCGATGCTGAATTGGTGAATGAGGAAGCTACTAATCAGGTGGCCAGGAAAACCAAATGGGGACCTGATTTAAGTCTGGATACCTGTGTTCGGAAAGGGAGGGCCTTGGCGTATCAGGTATACATTTTAAATTTGTTGTCTTGAGGTTGTTGTGTATGTGTGATCTCTTCATTTTATCAACAAGTATATACTTTCAGAAACTTCCCTTTGTAAGTAGGATATGGTTAATAGGATTAGTTAGTGGTTTTTCTAGCTTCGAATATGTCAGTGGACTTCAATTTGCTCCGTGCAATTCAAGAATTTCCTTTTTCACATAGGTTGTAAAGATATCACCCTCTCTTTGTATATGCATCTCTCTGTGTGTGTGTGTGTGTGTGTGTGTGTTTGTGTGTAACTCATAAATTCACATCCAAGGTGTCTGATTTGGCTTTTTGTTGGTACGAATTTCGGACAGACTCGGATCAACCAAATATCAGAACAGCTGACCCTAGGGACAACGGAACTTGAAAGGCATTGCGACTCATTATCTATGTCGGACCATCAGTTTAGTAAAGAGGTAAGCTGACCTTTCCGGATGTTCTGGGTTTGGTTATATATTCTTTAGCTTAAATGGTATTTATACTGTGCCATGTGGATTGTTTAGGAATCAGATTTGCTGGAACTTGAAAGGCGTGAAATAATTGGTAAGAAGAAAAACTATAATGTCCTATGCTATTTCTTTGATCATTGGCTCCTTTTTCGATTTTTCGTTTTGTAATATATTGAAATATTTTTTCAGGTGAAGTACTAAAGTTAAACCCAGCATATAAGGCTCCTGCTGATTACAAACCTCTGCTAAAAGAAGTGAAAGTTCCAATTCCTGTGAGTGCATATTTGTGCTTGTATTTTACTTTCTTTTGTAATATTGTAGCTTCTGATCTTTGATGTGCCATTGCTTGATCTTTAATGCAAGGGTCTCTGTTATGTCTTACTAAGTGGCAGTATGTATCTTTCTTCTTATTGGTAATCTTCCTAGTTTCACTATCAGACATGCCTATGACAGTGCACTTTAGAGATGTAATTTTTACCACTAATGACGAACCTCGTCCCAGAAGGACATAGTATGGAGATTTGCGTTTGACGTTGAAATATTATTTAAAAGACTATGTACTTCTTATTAAAGGGTGTTGTACTGGTTGATACAGGGTTCAGTCCCTGTACCTCACAATCCCAATTTCATAGAAATTTAGGTTCCCCTCCCCGCCAGCCCCTATAACTATTTAAATGAAAAAAACTATTTACTTCTCAACTTTTGGATATTTTATCATGTGTATTCATCATCAGAAAGTTATCATCTTCTTAATGTTGCTTCACTTATGAGTCGATTACCTCACTGAAAAAAGTAAAATGGACGTGCTCGTATTTTACCTCAGCCTCGTGTATTTTGAGAACTTCGACTTGAAAAGTTGACAGGTCACTACTAATTATGTCTACAGAGTAATTTACTATCATTAGAAAGAATATCAGAATCACGGGTGATAGAAAATTAATGCATTCCAGGGTTCATTAATAATGTAATTAAGTTCTTTCTTTAGGTCACGTATGGTGATAATATGGTCCTCACAAGTACCAGTTTACTGTTGATCTCATAGAAAGGATGCAAACATATGTCTCTTGTTTGATGACATGTATGCTACAGATTTATCAATGTTGAATGTTCTATACTTACTGGTCCAGGTTTCCCATGATCAATTTCAACAACTGAAATAAAACCATTGTAGTGACATTAGAACATCCTGTATATGAGAATGTCACAGTTTTATTATGTTAAATAAAAATGAAAAGATAAATTTCTTAGTGTCACCTGTTAAAATTTGTTTGTGCAGATCAAAGAGCATCCTGGGTACAATTTCATTGGCTTAGTATTTGGCCCTGCTAATGATACTCAAAAGAGACTGGAAAAGGTTATTACTTCTTCTTGTCCTGATGTGCTGACGTGGTGTGGATGAACTTGTTATGTTCATCAATATAACTTATCAAAATTACAAATTGTGTCCGAAGTGATATTTTTTTAAATATGAATCAGGAAACAGGAGCTAAAATACAAGTGTATGGGATAAAATCAGATGCAAGAGGGAAGGTAATAGAAACTTGGAATGAATCATTTGTTTTACGGTGCCTTCAGTCTTTATTCACTGAGTAGCATGAAATCTAACTAAATCGTTTCCTGTATCGTTTTCAGGTCGAGATTACTCCTACTGACGGAAAAGAAATCGACAATGTGTATCAGGATCTCTATGTACAGGTGTCAGCCGACACATTCGAAAAAATTGATGCAGCTGTGGCTTTGATTGAACTGTTACTCACGACAGTTTCGGTAATTTCTCTGTCCAATCCAATATATACAATGCAGCAACTGTATAACTTAATTTTTATTAAAAAAAAAATACTGCCTTGATTGACCTAGTCACCAAAAAAAAAAA